CCGTTTTCGAGGCCCACGAGGACACGTCCCGAAAACCCTCCTGCCGTGGGGTCTGGCCCCGAAACACGGCCAAATTTGACCACTTTTGGGCTTTCCTAACCCCCACACCCCCTTAGTACAGATCAGCAAAGCTGGACTTGGACGAAAGCTTGAGGAAGCTTTCGTAACAACAGCACTGTGAGGGTGGAGAATTATTATCTCCAAGCGGTGCTCAAACTCTGTGAAGTTTCTCAGCAAAAATGTCTGAGTGCCGTGAAAACAAAGAGTCTAGAATTCTAGAACATTCTAGAACAGACAGGACACAGAAATTCCTGGAGAGACGAGAGACAAAGGTCACTGCACCGTCAGTACTTTGCAAGTTTCAAAGAGACAGGATGACTTACGATTCTGTGGCGTGTAAGAAGTTCAACGGCTTCTCAGCAAGAGCGACAACTGATTGTAGCAGCTATGTTTTCCAAGCTCTTGTCTCGTGACCGTTAGCATCTGCTGTCAGAGCATAGATGCGCGAGATGCTAGGACAAAATGGATGAATTCAAACGTGTTCACTGTGAGTCGCTACTGCAGTGCACACCAAACTACCTGCCTCATGTGCCACCAAAAACAAAGACGCGCATCTAGATGCCCAAGGTGCTTGGTGCACTCTTCTTTGGCTCGCGCAAAGCGCTGCCTTTGCAGATAGTGAGCTGAAGACAGGGACAAGCACCACTGCTATGAAATGTTCCGCCCAAGTCACTGGTATGCCAAGCACGCACACGGCAAAACAAGCAGGGCCGGTGTAAGTGGACAAACCTGAACATACAGTGAACAAAGGCATTTAGGGGAGCCCGTGCTTTGAATGACTTGCAGAACTAAGAAAGCGACATACAGGGACACTGCAATGCCTGCGGCAGACAGACCACCTCTGCCGGCCTGAGCAGTGCTTTGCGGTTTCAAAGGGAAACTAACTTTTCGCTGCCAAGTTTGTTTCCGCAATAGAAAAGTGTGTTTGGAAACCTGCCCAGGAGGGGGGGGGAAACAAACTGACTCAGAAACTTTGGAAATGTTTATTTTTTGTTTTTGGGCAGCAACTAACGTTTTTCGGAAACGATTGTTTCTGGGCAGACACCAACGTTATCCGGAAACGTTTGTTTGTGGCCGAAACTAACGTTTTCCGGGAACGTTTGTTTTTGGGCAGAAACTCTTTTTTTTCCGGAAACATTTGCTTCATGGGCAGAAACTAACGTTTTCCGGAAACGTTTGTTTTTGGGCAGAAACTAACCTTGTCCGGAAACGTTGGATTTTGGGCAGAAACCAACCTTATCCGGAAACGTTTGTTGGTGGGCACAAACAAAAGTTTTCCGGAAACCTTTGTTTCTGGACAGCCCGAGAAAAAACATTTCCGGTTTCTACCCAAAAACAAACGCTTCCGAAAAACGTGTTTTCGCCCCAAACAAACATTTCCAAAGGTTTGTTTCCCTCGAACGTTTGTTTCCCTCCACGAAACTAACTTTTCCCAGAAACCTGAGTTTAGTGGAACCTGTGAAGCTTACTTTACCCAGAAACCCGAGTTTAATGGGAAAAAAACATTCGCCGTAAACCACAGTTTCCGGCCCCAGCGAAGCTTTCATGAAAAGGTTTGTTTCCCTCTAACGAAACA